GCCTGTGTAATGAGCTGCATATGAAATGAAAGCAATGAGCCTGAATGTTTGTTATTAACAGAATCGTCCATTAGTGGACCAGCTCTACTCCTGGAGAGATGGGGGCCGAGAGGACAGGGAGTTATGAGGTTAAAATTGAGTTTCCTGACTCAGGCCCATGTGGAGAAAGGGATTAGGATTTTGGGGAAAATGGCAAATTTCACATTTGTCAGTGAAACAATTGCATATTTAATAGACAGATCACTTTTTTTAAATCAGTCACTAGAGCTAAGTTCTCATTCATAAAGCGTCATGCGTGGCAACAGTGCGATGAACTGGGGCAACAAGGAAAATCAGACCCAAATCTTCCTCTCTACATTTAATAACACAGAAAGGCATGGTTGTGCAGACGGGAACGGATTCTTTGCAAACTAATGACGTACTGTAGCGATTTGCGCCCTTTCTGCAATCATTAGCCAACTTTAGAAGGCGTGGCTAGAAGTTTAAGAAAATCACATTTTACACAGGACAAGGCACCAAGGCAAGACCTGTGTCTCTCTCCGCAGAACAATGCCACTGTACTAGAAAAAGAAGAAATTATTTGCTGTAAAAAACATTTAATTTTCCAATCCTTTTGTGGTGTGTTCTGCTGTCCTCCTTAATAAATACAGCACAGATTTCACACAAACTGGAGCCCTTGAACAGCACAAACGCACTTTGTGTTCACCCCCACCCCCTCCCTGTTCTCCGGTTATCATTCTTCATTTACAGCTATAGACCTTGACAAACGTAATTTGCTCATTAAAAATGAAAAGGAAACACAATCGCCCGTACTGATGAAAGCTGTCGTGAACCAAGATCGTCGCAGGCGGCGGCGGCAGCCGCGGCCTCCCCACTCCGCGGAGCCCGGGGTAGTGCCAGGTGCCCGGCTTTCGGAATGCACCTCACAAAGAGGCTCTGGGGGAGAGGCTGGGGGGGGATCGGCCCGGATAAGTCGGCATTCAGGCATTAATTAGAAAAATGAGATCTATGAAAGGCGGAGAATGATCTCGGCCTTGGACTGCGCCTGTGTGCTGCAGGAGGAGAGAGCGACAATGGGAGAGAGGAAATAAATAATTAAATCCATTATTCGTTCTCCGAGCTCATCAGCACAGCCCACAATGCCTCGTCTGAGCTGCCGAGTGCGGTTTTCATCTGAATCAACGAGATTTACACGCTCGCCCTGTACTGCACTGTGGGGATACAGCCCACAGCACCCTTACTGCAGGGAGTGTCGGTGCTTTTCTTCCCGAAGGCCTCAACAGGGGTCAGACCACAGGGTGACATTCCCAGGCAGGAGCGAGCGGGCGAGGGTTTCTCAACCAGGGCTCCAGCGACAGCCAGTGCCACAAACGCACATCTGAAGGCCGACGCCTCCATTAGCGTCATTTAGCAACACAGCCTGTAGGCATTTTGGGGGCCCTGCCAGGCCGTCCAGGTAGGAGCTCCATTTCCAGGAACCGCAGACCTCGCTGACAGCTGACAGCCCAGGCGGCTCGGAGACGAGGAACACAGATCAAAGTGCTGCTCAGGAAATGAGAAGTGAGGAAGCTGCCATCCCCTCAGCACTGCTTCAGGTGTGAGATCACTCCGGACCGCATGGGAACATACGGAGCTTGTGACCTTCAGAAATTAGTCAAACTTGTTCAGAAAAGGCGCTGGTGTCACTGTGGCAGACGAAGGCTTTCCTGCTCATCACCACTGAGCTGCATCTTGGCTCTGCAAATCCTATTCCTGATTCTAAACCTTTACATGTCAAAGGCCCAGTCTGACTTAACTCTCAGCTCACTCTCATCCCAGCAGCAATGAAATCAGGTTTGACTCCACGTTGCTTTGAGCCAACGCTGAAAACGGTTGCACTGAAAAGACATTGGCACAATACATCGCTGTCCTGCAGAAAATCACAAAACTTTGTACTCCATACAGCATGAATGAGGCGACAACTTTTTAAAGATTGTGGCAGGATAGGTCTGTTCTCTTGCTCATCTTGGTTAGTTTATTTTTACTATGCAAATGGCACCCTCTTGTGGGCAAATTATTTTTTTTAAAAGGAGCAGCACTGACATGATAAAAACAGATGCACAAACTGCATTATATTACAGATGTGTCCTTAAAAATTGTGACAGAAAAGAAAATAATGTGATTAAAAAACAGATGGTTAGAACCAAAGACCCTTTATTTTCTGATGTCTCGCATGATAAACCACAACCACTAATGCTGCTAATGGCAATATACGAAATATTTACACCAAATTTTAAAAAATGTGGAAAATGGGTAAAATGTTGCATAAAGTGGCTAATTTAAAGCAATTAGCATTATTACAACGGCAGTGCGAGGGAGAGAGTGAGGGATGGTGGGTTATACCGTCTTACCTCCCTCAGGCCACAGAACCACCATCCTCCCGAGACGACACAAGAACAAATTAAAATGAGCTTTTGCTTTTAACCGACAGCTTCATTGCCGAGGATTACAAAACTGAGAACAAATTCTTAATTAATTTCAAATTGCTATGCAATTTTCCTTCTGCATTGAATTATGTTTTTTTTAAATGCCTCTAAACATGCAGCTCAGAAAAATGAAACACTTTTCTCTTGGCTGTTTCTTTTTCTGTGTGTGTGGGAGAGTATTTTGGGTACACTATTTTTTAAGACGAGAAGAGGAGCTCGAAATAAAGCAAATAACTGATAATTGTGCGGTTAGGTTTAGGGTAACCATGATGTGATAAAATGGCTTTCTTTCCAGATTGGGCAGAACAACTGGCGTAAATGAGGCCCTGGGCCTTGTACTGCAAGTCTGGCAGCTCTTTGTGTGACTCACCCAACGTGCAGCACGTCTTCATGACTCCTCCGTGCAAGAGCAAAGAGCACGCAACACGCTGCACGGCTCTTGCGTGAAAAACCGGAGCGGGTTCCATTTTCA